TAGTTATTTATGAGAGCACATATTTCATTGTATGCTTGTCATAGTGTGTGTATGAGAGAGAGAGAATATATAACTGGTGCAGAGGGTGGAGGCCATCTTACTCCTTAGTTTCTGGGCACATCAGCCTTACCCTAAAGTTTGCCTAATTTATCCTGACATTCCCTTCTATGCCCCTCTCCCAGAAAATAGTCAAACATGTTGGTGGTTTATCTTTTGAGTTATATTTTCAAAATATGTATCATTTTATACACATGCCCTTTAAATTTGTGTGTATTAGCACACCATATGGTTTGCCTCTGAAGAAAATGTCTGTCTTTATGTTGGCTTAGAGCCACAAGATCTCTCATGGTCCTAGGGATGAGGACATGGCAGGGGCCAGCGAGGGAATAGGAAAAGGCAAACACACAGACACATACACAGAAAAGCTGGGATCCCGTGGTCTGGGATCTCTGTTGGAGAAGCCACACCACCTGGAAGCTCAGGGAATTTGTTGTAAAAAATTGAATGGAGTTTGTGTGTATGGGGGTATTGCTGCACAGAGATAAACAAGGAGTTGGGGTTTTTAGTGCACTGCTGCACCAAGGAAGTAGGTTTAGTGTACCTCTGTCGGGCCACTCTCTGTAGGGGAGCAGTCTTCAGGCCATAAACACCCAGAGGGAGGAAGCTACCATAGACATTTTCTGTACTGCGATTCACACCAGACATGGGCCAGAGGAAAGCCTTGCCATTTTCCTCTGAGCGTCATCCTGGGCATGAAGAGGGTAGGCTTTGCCGTTCCTCCAAGGGCCCGAGGCTCTGAGGTCCTGGACATGCCTGTGTCCATGTCCACAGCACACATTCACTTGGAATTTCACCCTCAGGGCTTTCTCCATTCCCTGCATTGAGCTGCCTCTAAACAGCAATTGCAAACAAGTTCAAAGGTACAATACAGGCTGACCTAAGAACATACTCACAGAGTTGTAGTCAATCAGAGCAGCTTAGCTCCAGCCAGTCACAAGCTGTTGGTTAGACAAGTTCCTACTAGGCAAATTCTTCAATAAACCTTGCCTAAATAAGGCAAAGACTGCTGGGCCAATGGAGCTGTTTCTGCATGTCACTGTCCCTTCTAGCTTATAAATCTCACATTGCTGGAGGGAGTGCTCTGAGCCGCCCCAGGTTAAATAAAGTATATCCAACTCATGAATCCTCCTTTGCTCAAATATACTCTGCCAAATTCAATTTGTCTAAACTTAATTTGTGTAAAGGTATTTACAATAAAATTCCACTATGGTTGTGTCTAACCCATCACTTCTAACTACTGTACAGTGCCTTCTGTGACATGTCCACCTTCCCTGTTAAACTTTTATGCTTTCTTAGTGATGAATTCTCAAATTGCTGAGAATCTCCCCTCCATAAATAATGCTGAGAGGGAAGTCTGTGCAGACCTAGGAAGCTGGCTTGGGATGTAACCCTGGAGGAGAACGTTCAGGTTATGAATTTGACTGATTATTGTTCTAGAAGGGACTGAACCACGCTATTTATAACCCCACAAGCACTGCATGTAGCGCCTCAAACCCCACACCCAACCTCCTTGCCTTTCCAGCCTTTTCCTTTTGTTTTGTCAAACAAACATCATCTTAGCTTTGTGGGTGTGCATGTGTGTGTGTGTGTAGTGTGTGTAGTGTGAGTATATGTGTTCCAGGCCTGAAAATACTAGAGCACACATCGGATCCCTTGGAGCTGGAGTTATTGGTATTTGTGAGCCACCTGATGTGGGTGTGAGGATCCGAACTCCAGACCTCATGATAGGACGGCAAGCACTCTGAACACACAAGCCCTCTCTCCAGGGTCACTTTTTCAGGTTCTTGTTGGTGTTATTCTAATTGATTTTAATATTAATCCCATTTTGATATGTATGTCTCTGGTTTCCACCGGACTGACATTCTTACAGCATTAAGTTCCTCCTTCTAAGAACACTGAGTATCTCCCCACTTATTCAGACCATCCCCTAACTTACTTAATCACTTATTTATTATTTTGGTTAGATTATTTATAAGATAAAAAGGGAGATCCAAGCTACTTATTGAGCTCTTGGACCGAACTGGATGTGATAGTGTACATCATATTTCCCAAATTAGGAGGTAGGCAGGAGGATAATGAGTTTGAGCTCAGTCTAGAGGACGAGGGAGGGGAAGAGGAAGGGACAGGAAGGGGTGAAGAAGGCCTGAGGGCCAAATGAAAGGAGGAGGAGGGGATAAGTACTTGAATGCCCTGAGGGCCTCTTTGCCCTTTGTTGTCCTTTGCCAGGTTTAGAGCCACAGCCAGGTGCTCAGAGAACATTACATAGAAAGGGCAGAGGAGCTTCCACGGTCTTCCCTGCTTAATCTTTCCTGAGCAACGATAGACTTTCACCATAAGCCACAAGTTCTTTCCAACTTCCATAATATTCAATTCATGATTTATTTCATTTTCAAGTTGTTAGCAAGCGGCACGGGTGGGTCGGGAAGAGAGCTAGCGGGGATTCAGGGGCAGTGCCTTGCAGCCCAGCTGTTATGGCAAGAGACACTGCCAAGTTGCCTGGCGGGATGTTGACCCTCGGAATTGAGGGCTTTGCCAATTACCTTTGTCCAACTTTTGGAAGAAAACTTCTTTCCCTGGGATGGGAAGACAGCCTCTAGTGCATCATGGAGCCTAACGTGCTTCTGCTGTTGGTTGATAAAACAGAGATTAGAAATGATTTTTATATAAAAATCACTTGGCAGAAAGTGGGGGTCAAGATCCAGAGGTAGGTTGAAGAGGTATTCTGTTTTGCCAAGAATTCTCCACTTGATTCCGGGGTTGAACTAGGCTTGGGAGCTGCAATAGGCTAGGCTATTCCTCTTTACCACAGGCTAACCCCCACTGTGCTAGACAGTTGCGTTTTTAACGCGCCCGGCAGCTGCCTCCCAGCTCAGAGATAACCATTTTCTGTTGCTGTGCTTAAATGCCTCTTCTGCATTCAAAGAGAGGAAACACTGGTGGAAACTCTCCTCGCACCCTGAACTGATATTACACCGGCAAACCAGTTATTTCATTCTTTTGTAAACTTCAAAATTACACTCGTGTCCTCTCAGAGAGTTGGACAAATCAGAGCAATATAAAGCATCCTGTCTTCGAATTTTTCAGAAAATGCCTGTGTTTGGGAGTGTGCGGTGCTCAGTTAATAGCAATGGCTGCCGGTCCCGGGAAGGGTATAATTCTTTGCTGGATTATAGGAGCTGCAGCTCACGCAGAGAGTCCTTTGTGATGGAGGCCAGTCAGCTTTTATGGACTTCGATGCTATTTGCTTCAGTACACTTTGAAATGCAGGGTCAGCTCACTGGGCTACATCATGCAATAATAACACATTTTTATAGGTGTAGCTTGTCAGAGCCACAACAACATGCCATACATAAAACCAATAAACACACGATGTCTACAGATCCTCTCCTAGTAACCAGATAAAGCAATAACATTGACAGCAGTCATCAAAAAGCTCCCTTCCTGACTCTGTGGGGTGAATTTATTGGTGCTTAATACAGCGGAGCTGTCGCTGAGCCTTGGGTCAGTGTGGTGCTTTGGAACGCCAAGTCACGGGGCACCAAGTGGGGTGGGCCTGACAAATGAGAACAAGATGGGCAGTTAGGTCTTGCCAAGGTTTAAGACGTTGGGAAAATGCATCCGAAGCAGAGGTTTTCTACGGAATGTTTTGGTTTTTCTAAGTTATATGTTAAGTATTATAGAGTGCTAGCTTCACAATTAGTATTTTTCATCTTCAGTTTATATCCCTAAGGCAAGAATCAACTGATATCTGACAGAATAGACAGGGAACCCAATGGGTTGGTGTTTTCTATCTATCTATCTACCTATCTATCTATCTATCTATCTATCTATCTATCTATCTACCTACCTACCTACCTATCTATCTATCTATCTATCTATTTATCTTTAACTTAATATTTAGCTTCTTTGTTGACCCTTTTGGAGTTTCACATCATGCACCCCAATTCTGCTCACCTCCCAGTCCCCTGATATTCTCCCTCATCCCCACTGTGCATGCCCCCCCCCACAAAAGGAAACAAATCAAAGTAGGCAAGCAAGCACACAGAAGCAGAAACAAACAAAAAACCCAAACCCAAACAAAACAAAAACCACAATAATAGAAAAAAATCTCCTTGCTTCTCCTTCTCTCCTGCCTCTGCAACACCTCTCCATTCATCCTGAAGGCACTGGGGGCTTCAGTGTGCCATATAGTATACCAATTTGTCCCATCAGTTTTACTGGCAAATGTTCATTGCAATGAGTCACTGGTCTGGTTTAAGGCCTCTGGTTTCTGGTACACCGCCATCACTGGATCCCCACCGGAACTCCTCTGGGATATCCTATAGTGGCCACGAGTCTTGGAGGTCCTGTGGGTATCATTCCAGAGGACCAGTTCCTTCGCCAACTCCAGCAGGTCCTAGATGGGGTCAACCCAAGGCCCGAGTGTGGGCCTGGGTGGTAGCCAAGCTGGTCAGTCAGCTACCCTGCATGCATGCCCTTAGGGTTGGTGCCCCCTGGCCTGTGGTGAGGAGTGGGTGTCATCTCTGTAATGTGCAGGGGCCAGCTCTGTTGCTGTAGTGTCCAATGAGAGGCAAGGTCAGCTTTCCCAGAGCCAGCAAAGGGTGGGGCTGACTCAGCATGGCCCTCTGATTTCATCTCGCATGGTTCCTAAGGTCTCCTGAGGTGACACAGGCCCCAAACATCTACACAGACCCCAGCTGTGTAGCTGGACCATGAACCCAGACACGGCCCTCAACAGCAGCTAGGGCCCAGGTGACATCCTGACTCTGGGTGGAAGGAACTCAGGTGGGAATGGTTCTGGAGGCTATCTGGACAGGGTTGGCATTACCTAAGACGGCGTTCTGAATGTGGAATCCATCTGTACTTTGAGATGGGGGAAGTAGGGAGAAACATGAAGAGTCGGAAGGAATGTTACAGGGACTCAGGGACTCAGTCATTGACTAGGAATCCAGGGTTAACCTCTGCCACAATATCCTCATTACCGGAGGCTTGGCATAGGCATCCTTTATTACCAGATGGCTCTGGGTATTTCTGGCGAGAAATGTGTGGGAGGGCCATTGCAGGAAGCTCTGGAGATGTTGACCAGAGCTAAGGGTAAGCAGGGATAGGCTTGGCCAATGTAGTAACCACTGATAAAGCCTCAGGGACCAAAGGCCTACAAAATCTCAGCAATTAATTATTCACAATATAAACCATCAGGGCTGTGGGGGAAGGCTCAGTGAGCAAAGTGTTCTCTGCACAAGCCTGCAGGCTGAGTCCAGCTCCCTAGCACCCATGAGAAAGACTGGTAGAGCCGTATGCTTTTCAAACTCCAGAGCTGGGGTAGAACAAGATGGGGAGATAGATCTATCGTCAATGAGGGGTCAGGTCTCAGAACAGGAAGATGGTGACGTAGTCACCGGGCGTCAACATCTGGCGTCCATGTGAGCGTTCATGGGCAAGCATGTGCACACACACCCTGAAACCATATCATGTCCCAGTCGTGATTCCGGACATGGAGGAGCCATAAAGACGATAAAGGAGCTGAAGAGTTCATGCTAGTTGTGACGTCATTCACCGTCGGTTTTGAATTGGCTATGTAGGAAAAAACCACTCTCCGAAGAGGAAACCCTGCTGCAAGTCTCAGGGATATGAGAACTGACTGCTTCCAGAGGGGCTCCCAGAGGAAGGAACGACCGTGTGAGAAAGGCTGAAGTCCCTAAGTCTCCGGGAAGAGTTTCATCCCAGCTGCTGCCTGTCTAAGCAGCTTTTCCAGGGGGCAGAGGGAAGACGTGGCTGCTCTTATCATTCTGATTAGATGTCACCATTGGTCAATCACTCACCCTTTGACCAGCATTTCATAATTAGTTAACATCTCTAACCTCAAATTGGTTACAAAATTTAATTAAGGTCTTATGTAGGAGTCTCTTGGTTTTCACGGGGAAATTGGGTCCCGGAGTCCTCACAGATACCAGACTTTGCAAACGTTCAAGTCCTTTATACAAAAATAGAATAGTATTTTCATATGAATCACATGATCTTTTCATGTTCTTTGTATTGTCTCCTAACAATATATAACATAGTATATATGCTGTGTACATAGTTACATTGTTCAGGGAATGATGAAATGAAGTAAGATATATACTTAGTATTTGTGCAATGTTTAAAAAATATTATCAGTCTGTTGTTGCTTAACTGCCTGGATTCAGGGGACAGTAATTGCAAACATCACGGTAACTGAGTTTCAACTAGTAATTCAGACTGTATCAGAAGGATTTTGAGACTTGGGAGGGATTAAGTTGTGACATTGTCACCTACCCTGTCTTCTCTGTCTCTCTGCATTTGATAACGCCATGTTGTCTGTCACTGCCATAGCCTTTGGGAATACCCCTGGACCGAACAGAAACCTCTCCTCCCTTATCATGTTCCCGACAGCTAGTCTGCAGGGACACATAAATACACAAGGTTCCCTTGTGAAGGTGTTCTTCAATATTCTCTGAAGGCAACAGGCTTTTGGAAGGCCAGCCTGGGAACCAGACATTCATCTCCCCGTTCCTGTGGGAGAGAGGTCCAAGGACCAGCAAGCTGGAGAATAAAATGAGCTGTTTGGACCACAGCCTACCTCTAATTTTGCAACCTGAGAGGTGGAGTAGCCGACAGGGGGAGGGAAACCTCCTTGTCGGGAAATGAAATCTGACCTTCAGGGATGGGTCGGGGAGAAGCTTTCAAAGTTTTGTACTGTTGACACCCTAGGGGTTTCTCAAGACCTTAGAAAGCAAATAATTGAGGGAACTAATAGAATCTAGTTGAGAGCAGAATTTATTACTTTGTCTTGTCTTTTAAATTCATTGTATTTTTTTACCTTTTGTCATTTGAAATGAGCATTGAGAATTTGCTGGGGCCTAACTTTCCCAAATGGCTCAATTACAGAGAGCTCAGCCTCAAGCAAAATGTCAGATGTTAGAGAGAGAGAAGACAGGGCTGGCCCCAGCATAGCCAGGTTGGGCAGAGGGTGGGGGCAGTGATGCATGTTGCTCTCCTTTCTCACATGGGTGGGGTTCAAATTGGGGGTTCAGAGGTTGTGGGTCACTTTTCACAGGAGGAAGTGGCTCTGTCTCTCACAGCAGTGCATGGGCCTCTAGCCACAGCATCATGGGAGATTCAAATGAGTAAGACATTTTCAGAAAAGCTCAATGGCCCCAGCCCAGCACTAAGAACCGGAAAAGTCTGGTCACCTGTAGCTGACAGTTCCTTTACTTAGGACAATTCTGATAAATTCTGCCTTCTCTGGAAACCTTGAGCTAAATGTGTTGGTATTTCCACCTGAGAAAATATTTCACTGCAAAAATCAACGCAACAGTGAACAAAAGCAAGAATAGGATGAGAAAGAAAATGCCCACTGCCGTGATACTGCATGACAGGGTGACATCAGACAGCCTGACTCCCCGCAGGAATGGGGGATTTGCACAAAGAGTGGCCTCTATGTCCTCAACTCTGTGCATGTTTTCTTTGTACCATTCCAAAAAGTAAACATTGGAGCAAGTGCAGTCCAGGGGATTCTGTCTTAAATTAACGGTCCTCTGCTGGGACAGGATGGGGAGGAGATCATGTGGGATGATGCTAATGCTGTTAGAAGCTAGGTTGAGGTATATCCCCTTAAGATGACTAAGAGCCTCAATGCTACTGGATGTCAGCCTGTTGTGGCTCAGGTCTACATGATTCATTATCTTAAGCCGAGCAAAGGCTTGCTGGTCTATGGAGGAGAGATCACAGAATGATAAGATCAGGATTTCTAGACTTTCCAGGATCTGAAGCGGGTTAGTCTTTGGAATATTCCCATTTGGAAATCGGTTTCCCTGGAAGTTCAGATGCTGGAGGGCTGGCAGGCCATTGAGGAGATGCTGATTGCTGGTGTCAGGGAGGCAGTGGGAGAGATTTAGAACCTTCAGAAGATGGAGGTTCTGGAAGGGACTTTGTGCATCATTAACACGTAATTGGGTAAACGCCAAGTCCAGGAGTTCTAGCTGGGGACATTCTTGGAACGCCTCGGTCTTTAGGCCCAGGGGTTCATTGTAGCTCAAGTTTAAGCTTTGTAAGTGAGACAGGTTTTTGAGTTGCAGATTGCAGCAGTCAGACGTTTCGATGTCATTGTGGCTTAGATCAAGCAGACGAAGATTTTCTAGTTTTTCTAAACAGCCGGTACCAAGGGCAAGTTTCTTCATATTGCCCTTGATGTAAAGGTGTGTAAGCGAGGGGAAGCTGGCAGCATTGATTTGACACAAGTTTTCAAACTTGTTTGCACTGAGAACTAATTTCTTGAGGTTGTTTAGCCCTACAATCCCGGAGGGTAATTCTCTCAGGTGAGCGGCTGTAAGGTCCAGTTCCTGGAGGCTGGTGAAGCAGTGGAAGGTATTCGATGACATGTTGAGGAAGTGATGCTTTTGCAGGTTGATGCTCTCAACAGACATTTCACAGAGGCCCTCAAACACAGAGGAACTAATTTCTCCATCATCAATGTCCTCAAATGTCCCCAGCCAGAGAGACTGAACAGTAGAGTTCTGCAAACCCCTGAATATAACCAGCAAGTCATGAGTCCCTCCAAAGTCCAAACTTTGGAAGACAGTTGACTTGAACGCCCCAGGCTCTATTCTTGTAATGTCATTTCCCTTTAAGTTAAGGCTCAGGTTAGTGGCGTGCCGTAGAGATCCCATATCGTCTTTAGATAGGTAATGGATGGCATTATTTTGAAAATCGAGAACCTTCAGCTTCTCTGTTGGGAAGTTTGTGGGGAGCTTAATGGAGGAAATATGGTTACTTCCAAGATGTAAACTTTCCAAGCTCTTCAAGTTGTGCGCGGGGATGAAGTCCAGACTGGACATTCCTGTTTGGGTGAAGAACAGGTGCTTCAGTAACGCAGGTCCATTGAGTGCTGTTTCTGCCACAAATATCAGCGGGTTTGCAGTCAGCACAAGTGTGTCTAGCTGACGCTGGCTTTGGAAGGTATCTTCATGTATCCAGTAAATCTGGCACCTCGAAGAGATAAGAGCACTTGGCAGTCATGTTTACGAGGACAAGAGAACAAACACCAGCACCATAATGAATCAAGAAATCCCTTGTGTGCAATAGCAAAATAGCATCACCAGAAAGTGAAGTAGAACTCCCCTCCACGCCCACAGGATAACTGGTTGGGTTAATGAATAGCCTTAGTTCTGAACACTCTGATTTAGAATTTATTCTGTAGTCTTTGCTCCTTTAGAGCGAACACTCAGGGGTTATTTTTAATGGTAAGGAAAAAAAAACCAGTGAGTGTAAAAATCAAACTGTGATTTACTGTTTAATTTAGTATAAAATATATCACACAGAACACATAGGAGACACTATACACACACACACATATGTGTATATATTTATATATATGTGTATAACACCATGAACAAGATACAACCTTTATTAATTTCTCATGGGGGGCTGAATTGCCAGCAAAGATTGAATCCAGGTCCTAACACATGCTAAGCACACCCTCTATCACTGGTATATAGTCTTGCTCTCTCTTTTCATCAGTTAAATACAAAAGGGTTTTATGAAGAACTATCGTGTGTCGAATGATACATGGGAAGATGCCCCTTGAACTGAAGAACAGTAAAGACTCAGAAAACACCATCTTGATATTAATCTAAAAATACTAGATTGATCGCACACACATGCGCAGGAGTGCACACCCCTTTGTTGGCACATGTGCGTGCTAATGGTTCCCTCATTCACCCACCAGTTGGTAGTGATACTGACCACGGTATCTCACAGTGGCACTTATAAGGTGACCATGGTCCCTTGTGCTCCCGCTCTGCAGGAGGGGAAGGGGCAGTGCAGAGAGCCGCTACAAGGGATGCGGATGTCACGAAAGCATCGGCCTCCTTTCCCTCCTTTTCCTCACAGACTAGTTTATGCCCTCACTTGCTTTGGCTTTTGATACTTCTGCCTCTTTGTTCTCAAACATTGGTTCAGCAGTCAGATACAACTTTCAGGCTATAGTTTAGCAACTGGAATCCTGGTTCCGCCTCTAGACTAGATGATGGAATTCTTAATCCAATTTGTGTATGACAAATAAATCAAAAGTTAATAGAAGCCAGATGTAGGGGTGCTTGCCTTTAATCCTATACTTCAGGAGGCAAAGGCAGGAAAATAGCTGTGAGTTCAAGGTCAGCCTGGTCTACATAGTGAATTGGTGGTAAACTAGGACCACATAGAGAGGCCATGTTTAAAAAAAGAGAAAACAAACCAGAAAGCAAACAAAGCAACAGCAACCAAACAATGTTAATAGAGATATCTGTGAGTTTCATCTAAAATGTCATTGCCCAGTAATAGCCAACTGGGTTAACATGCCGCATAATACAGCATCTGATTTGGTCAAGATTTTTTTTTTTCTTTTTTGCCCTCAATACCCTTAGAAAAGTGGTTCTCAACCTTCCTAAAGCTGCAGCCCTTTAATACAATTCCTCATGCTTAGTGACCCCCAACCAATGCTACTTCCTAACTGCAATTTTGCTACTGTTACGAATTGTAATGTAAATATCTGATATGTAGGATATCTAACATGGGAGCCCTATAAAAAGGTCGTTCAGCCCCCCTCCAAAAAGGGTCACGACCCACAAGTTGAGAACCACTGCCTTAGGCTTTCCTTAACAGCACCATTGAAATACTTTCCTCGTAGTTGACTGGCCTTAATTTACAATATATCTTAGTATCAGAGATGTGTTCCTTGGGGAAGGATGAATGCACAAGCAGCTGATCTGTGGCCCTACAGGAGGCATCAGCAGTGCTTGGATTGCACAATATGGTTTTGTTTAAGTAAAATGTCAAGAGCGTGCAAGGAGCTGAAATACCTACCTGGTTAAATCCAGAAAGGTGAGATTTACGAGTCTGCTGAAGGTCGTATTTTGAATTGTAGGCAAGAAATTAAAGCTGAACTCCAGACATTCTGTTGAGTTTGGTAGAGTGCCAGGAATTTCACTGAGACCTAAATTTTCACAGTTGTATGTTTTGTTGGTTTCTTTCTGATGGGAGAAGCAATATAAATGAATATTGGATTTAGTAATTTGATTCACTCTCTAGCAAGATTATGTATGATTTACCTTTTGAGAAGCCGTCCCACTTCTAGTTATCGTTCCCAAAAATAAACTTGCAAAAGCACAAAATGTTTATATGCACATTCTTATTCATTACAGGGCTTTAGTAGCTAGCACAAAGAATAATGATAAACCGCTTGCTCTTGATTAGATTACGATTCAAATAAATCCGTTGGTAAAAGACATTTGTAGTCCATCAGAGACCTCTGAATGAAGGGATTAGACGATATTAAGAAAATTACACACTTTGTTAGCAAGGTGTTGGCTGTGAGTCAAAATGTGGAGGGTGCACTTATAATCCGAGCACATTGGAGGGAGTCGGGAAGATTTTGAATTCAATGATGATGTGAGCTACAAAGCGAGATCCTGTCTCAGGAAACAAACAACCCCAAACAAACAAACAAACAAACAAACAAAGGGTGCTTTCTAGCAGGCACAAGCCAGAGCTCAACCCTCCTGTACTGTGAGAGAAAGAGATTGTTAATAGCGATACTATTATCAGTATGTGTCCAGCTGAACAAAACGTGGTGCTCCTTAGAGGAACCCTGCAGGAATATTCTTGCCCAAAACAAGCTTCCAAATGAAGGAATGAATAAGTTGGAATCAAGTCAAGACTTTAGACCTGGCTTCATGTCTAGGAGTGAGTGACTCAGATGATTTCAGTTAACACACGATAAGCAGCAGTCACCCACAGACAGAAAGGGGGACGTTCTATATTGTTCTGGAAAGGTATGGGGCAAAGGAAGAGAAGGAGGAGGAGGAAAGAAAGTTCTTGTTAAGAGATAAAGGAGAGGCTGGTGATAGGATTCAGTGGATAAGGACAGCTGCCACCAAGTCTGCCAGCCTGAGATTGCTCCCTGGGAACTCACAGGATAGAAAGAACCAATTGTTGCAAGTTGTCCTTGCAAGTTGGCTCCACACACAAGCCATGGTGCATGGTCACATGCTTGCGCATGCCCAGAAAATAACTGTTGAAAAGCCACTTTAAAAGAAAAGATGGACATAATAACTTAGACAAGCAAATAATAATTAACCCTTGCTTAGTTATGATTTTTAAAAAGCTAGGAAAAGACATATAACAATCACAGAACTCTGAAGACAGGATTTGATTATATTGAGAAATAATGAATTTGAGAGAGAGAGAGAGAACAGGAATTTTGTAACATTAGTGGTTAACATGATTTTATGAAAGAAATGGTCTTAGACTCTTTAGATGCAGATTAAAGTAGCTAAAAATAAAATGACAGGTTTGAGATTTGCTTTAGCATACTCTGGCAAGAAAATATAAAAGAAAAAAAAAGAGAGAAATCTTCCATAACCCCACCACTTGGGAGGCTGAGACAGGAGGATTTCTGTGACTTCTAAGTTATTCTGAGATAGGGAAAGACCCTGTCTCAACAAACAAACAAGGAATACAAACAAACAGAGTAGTGGGGAGGAGGGAGAACTGGGTAGGTGAGTTTGCTGACAAAATCTTACCCTCCTGGGCCTTTGAAGCACTGGTAACTTTATAACAAATTTGCTTAAGACACTATTAAAAGGAAAAGGAAGTAGCACAGATTGGGGGTTTCAACCTTGAAATATAAATTATTTCCCTGTTGGGATCTCCAGACTGTGGGTCGATGAGCCCACCCTGTGTCCAACATAGTGCAGGATCCTGAAATCCAACGGGCACTGCCTCTTAAACCCCTAATCCGAGATGCAGAACTGGAACTAACTAGAGAGGCAAAGCTAGTCATTAGAAGTCCGCAGAAGTGAAGGGTTATCTGGTGCCACTGTAGCATTTGCGACTGGTGTGGGTGTGACTGAGGAGTGGGGGTGGGGTGGGTAGGAAGGTTGGTTGGTGATGTATACCTGGCCCAGGGAGGCTCCTAGCTAAGAAAAATACCCTTGGAGGTACAAAAAGACGAGCTCCAGGGAACACTGGTGCTCAGATCGTCTCACATCCTAAGTGAACTCAAACAACCACTGTCTTCTGGTCTTTCCTTCCCACACGCCTGCTCTCCAGTGGTCCGTGAGGGTGCCCCACCCACACTCTAGTCCAGCTGCCTTCCTACTGTTGACTACAAACAGATTTTTCTTGGATGGACAGAAGCACACACACCTTCCTTTTCTCCTAAATGGTGAGGTTCTCTAGACGGCACCATTTACCCTGCCGAACTCCATTTCCTGCTCGGTGCCCTTTTTCATAGCGCTACTACACACGCGCATCTCCAGGAAACCACTGGTTTCCTTATATCCCGTGAGGCTATTACAACTGTCGATGATGAAAATGCCATATTTATATTTCCCTATAATTTATTCTCCAGTTTATAGACCCAAAGTCCTCTAGGCACTGTCACAAATCCATCCACATAATGTCCTTGAAATGCACACTTTGCATTTAAAACCTAGATTTAGCTGACTGGTGGGGAAAAGCATGCTACAAGACTGTGCCTGGTGCCCGTAACTGTGGCTCACCCAGAGAGAACCTGTGTGGACGGCTGTGGGCTCAGTGTTGCTATGGATCTTATTAGCTCGGAGGAGACATTTTTCTTTTCTGGTTCCCACTGGCATATCTGACTTCATGTACGTAGGGAGAAAGGGGAATCTGCCAATCTGTCTGGCTCTATTATAGTACCACAGTGAAAGGCCTAAGGCTACTGATTCTCCGCTTCTGAATATACATGCTTAGGACACTGAAGTTATTTCCTCGTTCAGCCTCTCCTGGGCTTCCTAAGCACTTTACTGCACTAATGGGATTCAGAAAGTAAAGGTTGCAGAAACTCTGCTGAGCCAGGGGCCGAGGGAGCTTCTAGTAGGAGGAAAGAAAGATAAGGAAGTGAAATCGCTCTTTTACCCGAGCAAAAAAAGGAGAGGCAGGCAGGGTCTGCCAGTGCCAGACAGGAAGACCGCCAAAGCGTGGTCCACAAATCTTCATGTAGATGGGAACAGAAATGACCCTGCTGCCCTTGATGTCTTGGAGGAAGGGTGATGGCAAGACCTAGAATTTCAAACCAAAGGTCCTGGGGCTCCACAGGCACCTGCCCCCTGCACTTTTTGCAATCAGAGTTTTACAATAAAAATTGTTATGGCCATGAAAGTTGGCAACATATAAGAACATATAGATAATTTTCTGTTGATTTTACTTATTGATTTTTGTATAATTAATCTATTTTACATCCTAACTGCAGTTTTTCCTCCCTCCTTTCTTTTCATTCTCTCCACCTCCAGACCTCCCCCATTTCCTCCCAATCCCTTCTTTTTCTGTTTCTATTCAGAAAGGGGCAGATACCCCATGGGGATAAACAAAGCACAGCATATAAATTGCAGTAAGATTAAGTGCCTCCCCTTGTATTTAGACTGGGCAAGATGGTCCGGTATGAGGAATAGGTTCCCTAGAGCCAGTCAAAGCATTAGGGACAGCGCCTTCTCCCATTGTTAGGAGTCTCACAAGTAAACAAAGCTGCACAACCGTCACATATGTGTAGAAGGCCTAGGTCAGTTCCCTGGTTGTTGCTTCAGACTCTGTGAGTTCCCATGAGCCAGATTAATAGTTGCTGGGCTTTTATTGTGATGTTCTTGGCCCCTCTGGCCCCTACAATCCTCCCCCCTCCCCAGTCAGATTCCCTGAGCTCAGCCTAATGTTTGGCTGATGGTCTCTGTATCTGTTCCATCAGTTACTTAATGAAGGCTCTCTGATGACAATTGGGGTAGTTGTCAATCTGATCACAGGAGATGCTCAGTTCAGGCTACGTATCCACTATTATTGGAGCCTTAGCTGGGGTCATCCTTGTAGATTCGGGGGTATTTATTTTCCCTGAGTCCCTCTTTCCATTCATCTTCTGTAATCTCCCCTCACCCTACCCCCAAATCCAATTCCCCAAGTTTCCATCCCTACCCACCTCCAGTCCACCCCAGGACTTTGCTTCTATTTCCCCTTTCCAGGGAGATCCTCGCCACCTCCCCCCACTCCCCACCTTGGACTCTTCTTGTTACCTAGACTCTTTGGGAATATCCAAAAGATGCTCAGTCATACAGGAACACTTGCTCAGCTGTGTTTGTAGCACTTTTATTTGTAATAGCTAGAACCTGGAAACAGCCTAGATGTACCTCAGCCAAAAAAAAAAAAAAAAAAAACAAAAAAAACAAAAAAACAAAAAAAATCCAAAAAATGGATAAAGAAAATGTGTTATACAATAGGATATTACTCAACTTTTAAAAATAATGACATCAAGAAATTTGAAGGCAAATGAATGGAACTAGAAAAAAAATCATCCTGAGTGAGGTAACCCAGACCCAGAAAGACAAACATGGTATGTACTCACTCGTAAGTGGATATTAGCTATAAAGTAAAGGAGAACCTTGATTTTACTTTTTAAGGCTAGTAGTGTGAACATGTGCACACACACACACACACACACACACACACACAATCACTCTCATTCAGTCCTTTTGAATGGAATGTTTTACACATTACAGATATTCTGTTTCTACCTCATTAAGAACAAGGATATATGAGAAACCCCTCTACCCCATGCCATGCAGCTCCAGCCAGCCAAACTCAACGGATCATAGCCTGGACTTTCTAGCCCAGGTTCTAGAGAGGTCTCCAGCCCAGACAGCTGGGCACTACTCTGACCTCTTTGTGATAAGAAAGCATGATCCTGCCCAGAGTCATAAGACTCTAAGCGGGACAAGGAGACCCCAGCCCCTCATAGCACCAGGCAGACAGGCCTACTCTGGTGAGCAAATGTATGAAGTGAAATGGGAGAGAGACAAAATAGTTTATGTCCTGTAGACAGAGGCATATCTGAAGAGGCAAAAGAGATGAGGAGTGGGCTGCCGTGGGCGGTTTCATTGCCACCCAGGGCCATGGTGATGTCTGGACCTGGGCTTCTGCTGGGGCCACCTCTGGGTTTAGGCTCTGTTACAGCCATGGTCTCTGT